GCTAAATGAGTCTGCTTTTCAAAGTTCTCACCCAAAGTGTGTGTGGGTGTCAATTACTCAAAAGAATGTATGATTATGGAATAATTAATAATATATTATAAATAAGAAATAAATAATATTAATTTCACATATGTTATACATAGTAAAAAAAATTAATAATTCATAAAAAAAAAAATTTATGCATAAAAATTTAAAACATTTTGGGTATTTAAGATTCATAAATAAATGAAATATTTTTCATTAACACAAAACATATACTAATTTACAATTATGAATTATTTATTACTTACTCATTTTTAATGAAACTATTATATTAATAATAAAATATATCCATACATATAAGATTTTACACATTTCTTTACTAACCGCACTTAATCCGCAAATATATGTTTTCTGAATAAACCGCAGTTGAACCGTGCCATACTATTAAATCGTTTGTTTCATACATGCTTTTATGGCGTCAAACAGTTCTTAAAACCATTTTTCTATAACATTTACATACACATATATATATTTACACATATATTTACTAATAAAATCTCCATCTAATCTTATTGGTTTACTAGCACTAGTATTATCTGTATAATTAGTATAATAACAACTTGTTCCCTCCCCAACAACATAATCATCTTCTCTATGTTCATCTTCATCCCATTCTTTTAAAAAAATTATACATTTTATATAATATAACAACACCATACTTTTGACTAAAGTTTTTTTTTTCTTTAAATCTGGTTTTTGATACTAAAACTAATTATTTATTATAGACATAATGAGTTTAGTAACTTTTATCTTAGAAAAAACAGTTATTTAACTCTTTTTGTAACTGTTCTTTTTTTTTGTAAAAACACACTCAAATCTGCATTACCTATGTTTCCATATGACTTTATTATTTATGTTTTCATTTAAAACTTTGCTGCATATGACTCTTGGAATTTGTGGCATTAGTTGATCTAATTCTAACTTGTGAGTGAGACAATAGTCCATTGGTTTTCGCCAAAAGCAATGTACCTCTAAAAACTTCTTACCAACCATCTTAGGCTATCTTTATCGGCGTATACCAACGGGCCTTAGGGCATTAAACAAAGCCCAAAATAATAAAACAGTGAATTGTGAAAGAGTTTTCGGGTTTATCTTAAGATGTTTTCTTTGAGTGGGTGCTTAAGTCACTTTGTATTAATTTAATAAAATGTTTGTGTGCTTTAATTAATATGTTTGTATCTTTTTACGTTTTTCATATTTATCTTCATTGTTTTTTTTGTTATTAATAATTTTGAATTGTATTTTCTGTTTCTCTTTTATTTTCAAATCAATTTTAGTATTATTTTTTATGTTTTCAACTTCAAAGTTATTTTTTAAAATTTTTAAGATTTTATAGATTCAACTAATAATCAACTCTATAACTTTGGTTCTTAACTTAACCTCTTATAGTATTATAATAATTTAAAATTCTAAGCGCCATCCTCCCACTTATCCCTTTTTAAGGTGATCAAGATCTTTTAGCGCAGATAGTAACAAAGTCAATAGTACTATTTATTACTGTGTTCATCTATATTTATTCATGATTCTTCTTAATATCAGTGTCCAACACATTCAATATATTTATATATATACAAGTATAACTGCGCATACATAGTAACCTGTGATATCAAACTTGTGTGACCGACCAAAAACAACAAAGAACCAAAAATTACTTTGTGTCCTTTAAGAGAAAAGAAAAGAAGAAGAAAAAAACTACACCAGGCCATACCACCAATTGATGTTATCTCTATCAACTAATCTGCATTTGTCTTCCAAAACATTTCATCATCATCACATAAACGTTGGAGAAGGCAGTTTCCAGAAGTTCCATGTGTTAAAATCCTCCTGTTTCATAGAAACTTCATCAGAATCTGCTGCAGTGTAAATAAACTAAACTTCGACTTAGATATATATACCCGTTCGGAAGAGGTTGTAGCAGGGAACATTCCGTTGACAAGAGCGTGAAGATTTGTGTATGATCTTGTATCAATCCTACGATTCACAGCTACTTCTCCCTGCGATTCCCACAAGCAATGTTTCAATTGTTTCAAGTGCCAAACTTTGCGTTTGCTAGCGCGAGAGTTTTATTTTGCATTTTAGAAGAACAAATGTCTAATGCGAAATGCTAACTTACTATAACTCATGGTTTCCTTTCAGAAAAAAAACTCAAAACCTAGTATAACATGCAGATACTGATGCAAACGCAAACAAGCAGATGAGTCATTGCAGCCTAAGAGCATAGTTTATTCCAATTGCTAATGCATTTCCCAATTTAAGAACATGTGTACCTTTGGGTTAATAATGAAGATCTTTCCCCGGGGGATTCCAACTTTAAGGTAACTAATCTCATCTGTGTCTCTGTTTCCAAAACCAGCATAGAATGGGTTGTGTTCAGGAGGAAACAAGGCCCGTATTTCCTGTATTTTTTGGAAAAACAGATTTAAACGTATTTGCGAAGGCATGAGAGTTCAACAGATATAGAAACCGCACAAAACTAACCTCTAAGCAAGCAATCTTGAATTCATGAGGTGCTCTTCTAATTACTGGAGAGAACAGAAGGTTAAGAATAAGAAGCAAATCATTCAGGATCAACAAATCATGTGATATGTATGATATGTTGCAGAGGAAACACATTACCTTCCCGAAACAACGAAGGGAAGAGACCGTCAGGAGAGATAACAACAGGCCCATCCGGCAATGCTTTTCCGTCCTGATTTTGCTTACTAAGAAGGTTAACAAGAGTATGCTAGATTTTCAACTTCTGAACAGTTGGAATACGTTTTTATCTAATTACCTGCTTGAGATTAACTAGAAATTGTCTTGTAACCGAGGCTTGAGAAATCGCACGTGCACTTAAAAATATCAACTGATATCCATTTTCCTGTAGCAATGTAAAAAGAGAAAATGAATCTTTGCCTTTGTCATGTTATTATCATTTA